TCTTAATTCCTGCTCCACTCCGTGAAAGCTACTTCCACTGACCGAAGCAAGCTTTCAATAGTCTGATAAAGGCTTTAGCAAATGTAAGTTTGTCTCCGGTTTATCTGGTCTCCAAAGCGATAATGTTACAGGAGTCCGAAAGCCCAAATATAAAATCGGCTTATGTATGCGTACTCCTATCACAAAACTCATTCGAGAGCGCAATTTTATAGTTCATATTGTTGTCACTGAAATGACGTTAATTAATCATCAAATGAAAGAAGTATTCAGACATCGCTGAACCACCAAAGTGATTCCCTTTCTACTTGGTAATAAATCATTTTGTCCTCTCTTCAACCATAGAAATCTAACGTCAGCACCTACCAGCGTATGTGGCAGTTCATGTCCTCGCACAAGAACGTGATGATGAATAACACGGAGGAGGCGATTGCTCGCGTCAGACGCGGAGGCTACGCATATATTCTGGAATCTACAATTAATGAATACTACACGCAGCGAAACTGTGATCTCATGCAAGTAGGCAACAATCTTGACTCGAAAGGTTATGGCATCGGATTTCCTCAGGGTAAGTCACTGTTGCTGTTTGCTTTCAAACTTTCCCACTTTCAGTCATGCTTGGGCAGAAAAAATATTAATCTATTTTCTTGTGGTACTTCTCTGTCTGCCAAATTTCCACATGTAGCCTCCTTGTTTTGAAACTTATTGCTTATTGATAGGCTGCGTGCATATTTATTACCTACTGAAGGTCAATACGTCTTTCGCTTTTTTTAGGTTCAAAGTATCGTGACTCTTTCTCTGAAGTCATTCTCGCCCTTCAGCGTTCACAGACACTCGAAGAAATGCGCAGGTACTGGTGGCGAAACTACAGCATCACAGAACCATGTAATGACGCGCCGTCCAAGGTGTCAGATACCAATTCGCTGGGCGTAGAACAAGTAGGCGGCTGCTTCGTTATGGTTCTGATTGGACTGGGTGCATCGCTTCTCATCAGTCTCTCCGAATTCCTCTACAAAGCTTATCAACGCTCTAAAACCTCAAAGGTATTAATCAGCGACTTTAAAACTCTGGTTTTGCAGCGAATCAAATTACTTACCGAAGAAAAAACGGCAGTTTATCTGGAATTCCAGTTTATCTGGAATTGGTCAATAATAAGTAGGTATAATCACAATATATAATTAAATACGTATTCTGGATAAATCGAAAGCTTCAAAACCACAGTCTCCTGAAGGCCAGAAATGTTACCCCAATCATACTTAGTGCACACTAAACGTTAACTCGGAGTTTTCATAAACATTCCCTTGGTTTAACACTGAAATTGGACTTCATTTCAAGTAGTGGGCCATGCAAAATAAAATGCAATACATGCCTCTTCTAACTAAGTAGTGTACGAGTTAAGAGGGTTGAGGACATTCATAGGTCAGGGTTATAGTCTACTTCAGTCAGGGGCTGAGGACGTGGGGGGACGAAGAAAGTGTGGGGCAATGAGTTATGTCTCCCTTTCGTCGCTGTTACGTGGCGTGACAAACATGCTGGGTTCATCGTGGGCCAGGAGAGCTTTAGGGCGTGTATAAACGCTCTATGCGAATACCAAGGTTGAAGTGGCTAGCCGTATGGCAACTACATCTT